ATGAATTTCCTCAATATTTTCTATAAATTTACCTTTCCAAATTTCAGATGGTCTGTTAAAAATAACGGTAAATATGACGTTGTGACATTTTGGGAAACTCTTGTGAACATGTACGCCGCTCCGAGCTGGGAAAGAAAAACAAAAACATTAAAATTAAGTCATAGGGATAGACATCTGATTGAACTGAAAGCTTGCAATGGATCTCGGGAAAGTATATCAAGCTTATAAGTCTCGCGAATCTTATTTTTCAATAACATGATGAATACGTACCCTCCATGTAACAGTTCAAATTCTTTGCGCTTATTTTTTTTTCTACAAAATTACTCTGTGATTGAGTTTCCATGGTTACCAATGCAAGCTCAACCGTTACCTCTTTTTGATGCAAAGGTTCAGATAGGTTTTTCATGGAGGCGCYGAAAGCTGGAAGGGGCATTAACTATTGATAATTGATTAATGCTTTCAAATTGATTTACCTTATAAAACTCAGGTTTTTTGAATAAAGTTCTCCATGAGGATTTACTTTGTACGCTGTCAGTTTGTTTTTTTGTTCTATCATTGATAATGATAATATCGTCTTTCTTTTCGATTGTATTGTTTATTACAGATGGACATTGCTGTTGCGAATGCCTTGTTTTTATACTAATTTCATTGAATTCATCATAGTAGKTGTCTTGCTTTACATCCATAGTTGTTCTTGGTTGTACCAATGGTGAAGGAGCAAGAGTTGTCTTGATATTTTCGCATGGAAATGACGTCTTATGATGGTGTAATGAGTTTGTATCTAATGCATTTATTCTGTGTGACGTTGATCGGCATAAACTTGGAGTAGGAAGAGGGCTCACACGGCTACAGCTTGAATTAAGTCTAGATCTCAACATAACGTTATAAAGGCTTTCATTATGATGACCGTCCATTACCAAAGACCCAGTCATGTGCCTTCTCGACGCAGCTCTAGAGAGCCGCGGACTAGGAAAGGGACTGGTTCGAGCCGAGGTACGATGTGAATGCAACATGAGCTCGGATACATTGGGAACCATGTCCATGAATGTTTCAGGCATTGGAAGCTCAACATCAGACGCTTCTTCGCTTGTCGTTTCTGCGTTCCAATCATCACCATAACCGCTTGACTCGATGCTGCTTGCGTCCTCGTCATTTTGCTCTTTACTCTTTTCAGACAAAGCCGCCCAAAGGACTTCCTCAAGCGTTTCAACATCTAATTGTGCCACTTCTTTACCTYGGTTTGAAGGTTTCTTCTCGTCATCTTCAAATGAAGGATTAACTATTGCTGTGTCATTCCATCCCTGAATGACGTCACACACGTTGTGCGCAGGTGCAACTGACTTCTTATCGATAACGTGGCTACTTGTTTCGTCAAAGTTCGCTTCGTTGGAAAATTTGTTGACGTAAATGGAATCRCTGTTATTGGTTAGCGACTTCAAGTTCTTGGCGTCTAAAGAAGAAAAGAAATGGATTAAGGCATGCGCAGTCGTAGTGAATATAAAACTATACTGAAACCAATCAATTTTCTTAGTTTGTATATTACGTCACAGTGCCCATATAAGTTTGCACAAAACAATAGATTTCGCATYAGCTTGTATTGCACTGTACAGTACATGGCTGTCATATCTTTTTATTTGTCATAGGGTTTATAGTCATGGCAGTGCACGCAAACCAGTTGCAATAGGATATAAATTGTGACGCTTAATCTAATTCAAAAAACGTCATTGATTCACGCAGCTACATTACCACTAACGAGATCTCACTGGGACATAACGTGAAAAAAATCTCGCCCCGCTTAGGCATGACTCGCTTCTCTCGTATTTCTCTTCAGTGTCGATAGATAGAAATGCGATAGAGACGACTGCAGGCGTGTAAACACTTGTTTTGAAAAGCATGMATTGATGCCGCAGAATGTCCAGAATAAATGCGCTATAAAGTGCCGCAAAAGATGTTAGTAGTTTCCTGTTAATAGTCTCCTTCACGCAGTTCCCTGCGCCATCTTGAAAGGTAGCCGTGCCTTTGCATCGAAGCGAGACGACCCTTGAGCGTGCAATGATAAATACCTGTGAATATTTATCTGAAGGTTTCTATCATTGCACGCTCAACCGTCGTCTGTCTTCGATGCAAAGGCACGGCTACCTTTCAATATGGCGCAGGGAACCGTAGAGGAGACAATTGATTGAATTTTCCAAGATGCTTTGCTTTGTGTTTTGAGCATGCGCTGTGAGCATGTGAGTGGTACCAAGAGCTGCGTGAAGCGTTGTTCCTCCAATTTACAAATACTTCTTTTATAAGTACGCTCAAACGTTGATATTCTCGTGTGTGCACGCTCATATCGCTTGTSTCGCTTCTATATACAATGTCTGGCCTTACAGGCTAAATTTCAATATGCATGACTAATATAAGGGAGTCGAACGGGGATATTATTATCTAGTAAAGTCGTTTTTTCTTTCAAACAAACCATTGAGAAAAACCATTGGGACTTCATCGAAGGAATTCCAATAATGTAATTCATGAATAAAACTACAATAAAACTATCTAATTATAATCACAATAATTACAAACATCGAAAAACAACTAAACAAAATAAAATCTGTTAATTGCGTGAATACCTGTACTGGGCTCGCGAGTACCAAAGTGAAACATAGAMGAGAAAAATGCTCCAGTCCCAACCACAATAACAACAAGATACTGGTGAAGAATGCAGTTTATTATTACAAAAACAACCCTTGCATTGCCTTCCTTCAGTCGAAGCAACATACAACCAAAATATGACGGCCACAAGGCTATGCTTGTGCTAATTACTTTCCATTGCGCATTCATAATAATGACACAATCACAATCGTAATCATAGAAACCGTACAACATTTGAACAAAACTAAGCAGTTTTAAACTKATACGAATGCAAACCAGGACTTATAAATTAGTATCGGAAATATATAGCATTTTTATGAAAGCTTGAAAACTTTTCGACAYTTAGATTTCAAGATTGCGGTCGTATTGATAATTTGCTCAATCGACAACGCCAACGGTTACAATAATTACAACTGTGATTGCGACTAAAGTAATGACTAACTCCAGTGMCGCGGTACTATTAACTCACCATGAATTTCTTCCATTGAGAGAACGATAATGTTTGACTGCTATCAGAACCAAGAAGGACCCACGTGACTATGTATACGAACATACCGCACGTCAACGTGATGGCGGAGCTGTAACACATTAAAACACATTAAAACTATAGCCTGCGTAGCRGCTCTAGGGGAGGGGGAAAGAGGATACGGCCGAAAGGGAGGGGTGTCGGGGGAGGAGGCGCGGAAATCAAGAGCTCTTTTTTTCCCCTCCTCACCCTACCCCCTCTCCTAAGAACCGCTGCGCAGGGTACATTAAAAAGATCATAATAAACAATAGAACTATAACARTAGTAAAACTCTCAAACAAACAACATTGAAACAATAACAAGAATAACAATAACATTTGTCAAGGAGCTCTTTTATCGATGTTCACTGATAGCATGATAAACTTTATTTTTATTATTTACCACAAATTTTAATTTTAAAAAGTCTTCGTCAATCCCTCAATATAGTCAGCTGGGACTTTTAATTTATATTCATCACTTCTCTATAAATGTTTGGCGAGAGAAAATAAAAAGCTTATAAACTGAAGTCTTTGATGTTTCCGGCTGTTTTGCKATCAAGAAGGATGACTCATTTCTTTCGCCAAGACAGGTCAATAAGTGCTATCTWTTGTGTAGCCTCCRTAGCTATCAATRCACTCCGCTAAAACAAACATGATGTCATAAGTGGAGAAGATCAAATATGCCAGTCATGCGCATGTTAACGAGTTATTATTTTGGGGCAGAAACTCCGACCATATTTTTTATCCGACAACATTTCGTTTTTATGCGCGCTCCTGCGCGCGGAGATATTTCAGGAARCGTCTTCGCATCTTGGAAATCGTTCTTAAACCGGGTTTAACGAGTTTAACCGGTGCAAGTTGTTTTCTTGATCCTATAGGCTATTAGTAAAAGATTTATAAGGATTTAAGGATTTATTGGCAYAAGCTTAATGAACGTCTAGTCTAATACACATAAATACTTTTCGAAGCGTTGCTCAAGCTCGGGCTGATTTCAGAAACTCAGTAGTACACTTTCGACTTGACTATTTCTCAGTTTTGACTATATTGACAAACCATGAACAAAAGAATTGAACGTAAAAGACTCAGGGGAACAATAGATACTCCTTTTGTTCCCACTGAGGCTCGATCTGATTTCTTTTGCGTGTGGTTTATTGAATCAACCAGGATATCGAAAGTGAGCCATTCAACACCCTTAGAATCAAAAATACATGAAATTTCAATTGATGTTKCGAGCTAAATCTCAAGCCATGTCTTATCCCATATAAGAATCTGTAAGAATCTCCCAGAGACAAGCTTATCACCACGACGTAAGCAATGAGCTTATTTTAAGGTCAATCTGCAGATTTTTAGGRATATTAAGTCCTCGGAAATTCCTGTCCCCGCAGTGAAGGGTGGGTTTCCCGTAAGAAAACATAATTTACTGATCATGTCATGGCGGGTCTCGTTCAATTCCGACCATCCCGTTTCGGTGGCTTATAGGTCAAACTCTAAACTTGATGGCACTGGCTCAATACTTTCCAAAGAAACCAGTTTTTGCTTCATCATATTTAATTTGCCGAGACGCTATTTTTCAATGCAATGAAAGATATTGAATATTTTATGTCCTTGATCCGATTAGTTTGAAAAAGACATAATATTTTAGCTATTTTAAGTATTAGATAGTCAGTGAGTGACAGAAAAAAACTGTCACTTAAAATCGAACAAGAGCCATTTTCCAGCTAAAAGCTACAATTTTAGTTCAGTGCGCTCCGTTTTCTTATGGTTTTGCTTCTAGATCCTAADCTCGCTGACTGTTTTTATCTAAATCATGCTCACTTGACCTCTTATCAATCACCAAATACAAAACCATTAAGATAAAAATGTAAGACAAAATCTTTTAAAAATRYGACAGAAATTCCATTCTCTTACTTTATTGCTCCTAGCTTCACCATTTCACTTTGTCTTTTCGCTATCACGGGTATCARCGCAAGGAAGTTTGACTGCGTCAGCCCCCATCCAGCATACGCTARGACGAGTATAGGTACATAGTACAGAACAATCTTCCAACCGGCTGTGTCTTCACCGCATAGAAAGCAAGGCATAAGCAGGAACGGWGAGCAAACCCCCACTAAAGTACAGCCAAATAGGTGCCAAGTCTTTCTCTTTCCGTAGTGCCGTGACAGGAAGGGAACAGAAACGTTATCAGACACATGGCCGATCAGGAGAGCAAGGATAGCGTCTATTCCTGTAGGAATCAGCCATARTAGTCCAACGATAGTACTTGGAAGATCGAGTACTTTGGTTTGAAATGTGAGCAAGTATGACGCATAGATGGTATTGAAAAGATCGTTCATAACATGTCCGACGCTGAAGAATACCATTTGATGTAAAGAGAGTCGGGGTTTTTTTGGTCCCGCCATTTTTTGGGCAAAAAACTAGATGCTGGAAGGATTGTTCTGAAAGAAAGTTGGGCCATATCAAGTTATCTGTTTGGGATGGTTTAGGGTTAAAATGTAACTATTTTGAAGTTTGAATGTAATGGYAGTTCGCTAAGACCTATYATGATTCTGATTTGAGGTTTTTCAAAGGTCAGTTCAAATCGTAAAAGCCTTTAAATTTAAAAAAGAAACTCCGAGAAACGCTTGACTCTGTTTTCTCTTTCGTTACAGAAACTCACATGATATCATTACTATACCGACAGTCGAGAAAAAAATTCTATATATCTTCAAAACAATTTGCCTATATTTGAACTAACTTTATATTTTATACAGAATTCTTACCCAAAACAGCAAACGTTCCCCAAATATATTCTTCTCGCTATCGCGTGAACGATCGACGACTGGCTTAAACAGCAAATGGGCAGTTCTATACAGTAATTCATCTCTAAGCCGATAAGAATTGTTCTACCTTCTTGTTCAAAACCGGTCAGACCTTGTTTACCGCCATGTTGTTTTTCTCAAGAACTCGTTACGTAACAGGGGATCATTCACCACACAGACGGMACGGGAACAATTCCAAACAATTTTTGTTTCCCACTGTTACAAAAATAAGTGTAATGCCCCTAAAATGCAGTGATCAAAATGCACTTTTATAKTTATAATTAACTTTGCTTTTTGCCGGGTGTTTTCTCTGATTTAGTTGGATTTCAAAGAATTTGAGGAAATTTTGGCAGAATTTGAAGGTCATGGGGAAAATCCCTTGTCACATGAACACGTGACTATATATCAAAGTCCAAAGACGAAAATAACTCAACAATGGCTTAATGACAAATGAGCTGTTTCAGTATATTAAATTGCATGATACTATTGACTCGTACAGTTGAGGGTTAATGATCAAGCAATTATTCCCTAGTATTCGCCAGATCATGTTCTCTTAGATTTTTTTTCTATTGAGACTGAGGGATCACGAAAACATAGATGGAGTGCTGATTGATGCCGTTTATTCATATTTAGGTGGACATTAGACTTCCTTGGCAAGTTCTGTATATTTGAACTTTTAAAACTTCAACTTTAGATGTGGAAAAAACAGGTTTGAAGCATAGAATTCAAGGGAATAATACCAGTCCAATATTTCGGAGGGGGAGGTGGTGGGGGCAGGCAAAGGGCCAAGGAACAAGTAAGACAACCCCACTTTCTTTCCATTTCATTCATTTGATAGTTTCATCTGCATCTTTTCAACACGATTAAGATTTTATAGTTATAAATAAATTTATCTAAGATTATTTTAGTAGTCAAATGGTAAAGCTACTTTGAAAGTCATTTCAGTAGCCTGCGTGCAGTCGAACACAACACAACAAATTGGTTCGACGTCACGCAGGCTATATTTCAGTTAATTTTAATTTAAGTAGGACTCTAAATACGACTTTTGAACTAAATTTTGATAATTGCTTAACTGGAAAACAACGACAAAAATGTACAATCTCCACTGGTGAGTGATGCAGTAGTTTGAAGCAATAAAAAACTGAGGTTAACCCTCGATTTTCACAGTACAAATTCTTTAACATATGTCGATACATTGAATACAAAAGACCATGAAACGGCATGGAATAAATAATAAAACATAGTTGATAAACAAATATATAATGTATAAATACAAAAGAAATGGCGTAGAGTCATTTCAATTTCAATGTGCCCTTATGGTTTCCAGCGCCATCTTGAAACATTTGTTCACATTATGTCTATTATTGCACGCTCACCAATCATCTCGTTTCTATGCAAAGATACGGGTACAATTCAAAATGGCGCAGTGAACGTGAAAAGACTATCGGGGAGGTCTAATAAAAGCCGAGATGAACCTCTCAGATCGAGTCAAGTCATAGTCCAGAGTCTGTATAAGTAAGGCGTAGAGTGGACACACTATAAATCCGTAAAACTCAAATAGTACAAAATACGTGAAACGCTAACTGCTAGTGATTGATACGAAAAGTTGAAGTACCAAGGAAAACAATAATTTAGAGTCAGAGAACATTAAACYCGTGAAAGAAAATTTCACTTTTAAAGTGTGTCAACGTAATAGACTCAGAAGAAAAAGGTGTCTATTTCACGGGTTCACTGACTTCACTCTAAGTGTTCTGCCTTATTTTCCACCACTGAAGATCCTTCAAAACAAAAATGTAATCTAAACAAACAATGGATGATGACATGAGTCTGATATGGCGCATTTAATATAATCTAATGTATACAAACAGGTCAGACTTGCTGTGAACCGGTCTTTTAGCTAGCTACGTCACAGGCCTACTCACCATATCCGAACCTTTGTGAATTTTTCTCGAATGCGAAAAATCTTGGAAGGAGAATTAACGACGACAAAGGCTCCCGGATGTATGTGGGCCTTTAAAATATCTATTGTCAAAAGGTTAAAAAGATGCTACAATCTTGAACAAAAGGTTAATTGAAAATAACTGCACCGTTGAGGACTGTTCACCAGAACGTGCTCTCCACCACCACCTAACTCCTAAATAGAATTTTTAGTATCCAAACAGATTCCATTTGGTAAGTTTGATCTCTAAAACATAACTTTCAGCGAGAGGGGGCTAGCTGGAGGGGAGCTTAACAACATTCAGCGATTTAAAAAACATTCTCATCTCTTTGTTCATGATTGTAGCTTTGCACTAAATATATAAATAAAAAATATATAAGTATATATTTACAGCAAAAGAAAGCTCTCCACATCGTCATTGCCGTCCTTTACCCATGCGAATAATTTCCTTTAATCTGGCTTCACCTTTCTCTGGATCCTTTCCTGCCTTAACGTATACTTGCTCACCCAAAGCAAATTGTGTTTTATAAGGAATTCGATTAATAAAGTGATACTCTGTCATAGCACTGCCTAGTCGTTCTGTGTAGAGTAGAGGATGCTTGTAAATAAGAGCGTTGTCTTCTACTTGCTTTGATGGAAACTTGTGATCATTTTGCACAGCTGAAAGCACACAAATTATCCAATATAAATCCTTAGGTGCCGAGGAAGCTTTTCATAATCAAAAGAACGAAGATCTGTTTAATCCCATTTTCTATGATCTGTAATCGGCTATAAACTTTTTTTCAAATAGACAGGGAACCCAAACATTGTAGAGATACTCACCATTGTCCATAAAGAAATCAATCAACCACTGGATCACTCGGGTTGAGTACATTGAATGAAAGATGTTCAGATTGGACAACCACTCGTATTGGGGCTTGCTCGGATGCCAATGCCATACAAAGAACGGATATTCTTTACCTGAAATTATAATGTAATTATTGGTAATGCAACCTTCGTTTCTTGGACCCTTTCTCTCGCTATTTTCAGCGTCGTCCGCCATTTGGAACATAACGACAGAGAAGGCACTAGGAGCGACTTTGTAGTAAAGCACATTACCAGGAAAAGATAATTTTGATCAAAAAAAGTTGTCGTGTCGCAAAGCTGATATCATCTAAGGGTATTTGAAGTACTCTCAGGGACAGGGGTGTAAAGGCAAACGAAACATAGCATAGTGACTTGAACCTTGTTCYGAGGCACTAGCCACAAAAMGAATGAAGAGAAGTAGTAATAGAGAAGGTGATGGTACCATGATAAGTGAGTTAACAAATTATATAGGAGTTGAAAAGTGAAGCAGCGTAGTAGCTACAATCGTGGAGAATATACCTTGGACACGATCAACTGTTACTGTATTAAATAGACAGGATATTGCACCGAGTGGTTGTCATGTTGTCAAATTGAAACAGTTACATGTTGCAATGTCCCGAGTAAAATGTCTAGGATTGTAGCTAAACTAGCATATGTTATTAGTATATTTCCATGTAGCATGGTAAATAAAAAAGAAAACATTGCAAGAGAAATAAAACAGGATGAGAATTCTCTTCTACCTTCCATTGATGAAATATACTCTCTTCCATTTCTGTCCCTGCTTGTGGATGTGATACGAAACATTTCTTTGAGTGGTTCATATCGATTGAAAGTCTGTCAAAAAGAAAACGACAACAACAACAAAACAATCAAATGCATGATGCTGGTAATTTAAGTACACGTTCATAAGGAAGACGTTCACTGTAGATGGTGGACTTACCTTTGAGTTCATTCCTACTAAATGGTTATTATATGAAAAAGGGACTTGTTCCATGAATTGTATGTATTCTTTTGGCATTTTGGAAAATATTTGACTCTTCTTGATATCTACAAAAGGAAAGCAATCAATCCTAGTAAAGAGGAAAAACTCCCCGGCGAGCAAGACTTTATATTACGATGCTTTCTAATTCTCAAGAAATGCCGTTGTTGACGGATCGATCTTATAGAGTTCTGCCGTATTGGAAACGCATGAGAATACGCTTACAAGAGCTGGCATTAGTGATTTCGATGGTAAAATATTAAATCTGCGTTTCTCCTTCACTACCGTACTGATGCCGAAATGAGATCAAACGCGCGCGCAATCGTAAGCGCAAGAGAACGGAAAATTGTAATCCTTGCACCAGGATTGGTACGTACTTAAGTTTGGATTGGCTACCACTGTACTTAGAACGTCTTATGCGATTGCACGTATCGAAATAATCGTAAAAATGATGGAAATTAGCGGTAAACTAGTGTCAAATAATCGTATTCAACTTACTATGAAACTGCAGTGTCGTGGTGTAATTTGTTGCATTGGTCGCTGTGAACAACTCCGGATTGTACTGTCCTCCTTGTTTAGGGTCAACTCTTGTAACAACTATGGTTATCAGTTCAAATCCCAAGCACTCTGCCCATACTGGAAATACTTTACCCTCTTGGTTGGACTAGTTAGTATAATGTCATTTATTATATAGCGTATATGTATCCTACATTGATATACAATGTTTTGATGCAGGGTAAGCACCATTCATTATACAGCGTCTATTTTTCTATGAATTCTTATTCAGTCTAATTGAGCCAATTGATGATGATCCCACCATATAGTCATCCACGGTGTATTTTTATTCATCCATTCATCCATTCCTACATCCCGCCATCCTTCCATTCTGTTTTCATCCATCCTATTAATCTCAGATTTCCATTGTATTTATAGATTTCCATTTGCATTGCAATGGCCATTATACTCGATTTTACAGTTTCAGCGTCATATTGAAAAGTACTAGTACAGCAGTTGAGACTGCAGTGATGATAGATAAAGACTTATGGACCTATAGGACAACTATTGACAGGTGTCAATCATTGTGAGTCGTCTCGCTTCGATGTAAAGTCGCAGTTTTATTTCAAGTTGGCGCTGGAAACATAAAAAGTGGTGCATGTAGCAGTTATCTTGAACCAAACGTTCAAGACGTAAATAGCCACAAATTTAGGTGTCTACCCCCTCCTTCTTATATACAAGAAATACCTTTTCACCCCTTCTTTGTCTATTACCCAATCCTGCCATTTACAAACTGACTAACCTTAATTGCCAGTTCAACTAGCTGCTTGCCAACTGTCATGTATCTAGATGCGTTGAGCATCGACTGCCCTCCAGGTAAAAGTAATCTATAAAAAAAAGGTCAGAACTTAAACAACATCAACAAACTCAAAAAAAGTCTAGTTTACAGGCTTTATTTAAACTCTATTGTTTGAATAAAGACCTAAAGTGTATGACCTTTGTTCTGGTGTCCAGGGCTCTTGCCGTAAATTCTGAACTTATGATAGTGAACATCGTTCCCATCGCACCTTGTAAGAAAGTCTCCAGAGAACTGGTGGATTCCGGATTCCGGATTCCGGATTCCGGATTCCGGATTCCAGGTTTTCGGATTACAAAGAATTATCATTTTTGGAATCCGGATGTGTTTTTTGGATTTCAAAATTTTTGCTGGATTCTGGATTCCAAATATTTGGATTCCGGATTCCAGGATACGGATTCCAACGCTGTTTTTTACTGGATTCCGGATTCTCTTACATGGTGCCKGCGATTACCACTAGTGTTGGTTATTACTATACTCACCCATTAATTGAATAAAATAACTTTTCTATGTCATCTGGTGTTTGATCCATTCTGAACAGTTTAATAAAAGAAAACACACTCAAGTTCTTTGCTAACAAATGTGATGCTAGATTGCAATAATGTTTGATGACAAGTCTCTCTTCAAACGTCGAATGCACACTTGTCGAGTTCAATATCAATGATAATAACTCTAAACAAATGATTCGAGTCATTATCAAGAATTTATATAATTATATGAAATTATTAAGTTCGCGAAGGATACAATATCGGTGCCACTCTTGCGCCTGCCTCCTCTATCAGCTTTACGTAAGACGATGCGACGTATTGGCCGTAACCAAAAATTTCTCGATTTCCCGATACTTCTTGTGTAAGAATACCTATTGGAAATTAGATAAAAGCAGTACTGATAGATGTTCTTTTGGGAAAAACACATTCTTATGCAGATATAAATGCAATTAATTATCGCCCTCAAGTTGATAGTTTCAGCTCAATTCATTCTGTCATACAATATTATTTATAATACGGTTAATAAAATAAAAGATATAACATAATTGATTATGRCGAGAAAGCCTGAATTTAAGTCATGGCATAGGCCGCCCAACTATTGCTTGAGAGAATAAAGGAACGTTGCGCACGCTTTTTTTTTTGTCTGCGGCACGCTCTTAGAAAAATGCGGAGTACCTGTTTTACTACGACACGATCCCGTGCCTCGCAGGTCTACACACTAGTCTGTCACTTTTAGTTATTTATCAATAAGTATTTGTAGAATAATAAAATACATTAAAAATACATAATGAATTTTAGTATTCAAGGGATGGGCTGCCTGTGGTCATAGGGATTATTTTAGCCTCAAACTCAAACTTATAAAGTATCCATGGTAACGTGTCTTTTCATTTAGTTACTCATTTTGGTACTCGCTTTCGTTAATCATAGAATGATATCACGAACAAGAGAATATACAATATACAATATTTCTTTTATCAAAATTCTGTAAAATAGTACTGCGAGTCTTGTTGAGCCCGCCGTATTTAATGTAATATGGACAGTGGTTAAGAGCTCTACTCCATACCACAGACAGACACTTAACTCACTGAATTGGCTCTTTTATTTCATTTTATTTATTTATTTATTATTTCTATTTTTGTCTGTAATTCCTTCCTTTTTTTCTTATAGTACATCTGTCTTAGTTGTCAGGAACAATTCTTGTAAAACTTTATTCTCTTTTTAACGTTGAATAAGAGATTGATAGTTTGAGACACATAACTTTGTGAAATGAAAACTGGCTACCTAATCGAGAAGTGTCTTATCCATTATCCTATACCTGAGTGCGAAATCTCGACCATGTACGTCGAATTGTTTAATGACTCGTCTGTTGAATTTAACAGGTTAGCCCCTGCTGGGTGACGTGAAATTTTTGACAGTATTTTTTTGTGACTGTCGTGTCCTCTTTATATGTTTATACCGAATATTGAGGTATTTTAGTTTAGTATTAATTTAGGTTTGATTAGTTTAGTAATGTTAATAGTAAAACTGTAATGATATAGTGATGTTTAAGGTTAATGTGACTGAGCTACATTACAATTCACTGGAAAAAATCCCGCGCTTTAAAGGTTGTAAATTTGATGTAAATATGATGTAAGTGTCCAAAATTCTGTAAATTTGATGTAAACGATTTCCATTAAATTTACAGAATTATGGACACTTACATCATATTTACATCCAATTTACAACCTTTAAAGCGCACGATTTTTTCCAGTGCAAACACTATATAAAACCACGCAAAATCGTTAACATTTAGATAGAACTGATAAAATTGATATAACTGATGTGAATTACTTTGTTTTCTATTTTCTTATCTATACTATGTTGCGCTAAACATACCATTAGTTGAGGGTAGTCATCGTTAAACCCGTTCAGAAAACAATAAAATTTGAACATGGAAGTGAACGTACGGACACAAAAGAAAACAAATAGATGCAATTAGAGCGTACAATGGTGTATCAGAGCAATACTCTATTTGATGTTTATTTTACTGATAACAATATTCCTTCATTGTCTATTACGATGCTGGAATAGTTTATTGCCACTTAGCAGCTGACCGCAATCTTCCACATGATCTATCTTGGCAAACCGATGAATCCTCGCATTCGCGGCGCGTTTTCAAGCATTTTTACTCTGGATTCTGTTTTTATAGACTTCCAGTACCCAGCTAGGATACGGGTAGGAACAAACCGTATATATATATAAAAATAAATAAATGATAATTTGCGTATACAAAAACGGAACGCTCAGCTACGTATTGAAAAGGTCTAGGACAGCCTTAACTATAAAGTTGGAATTACCCTGGCTCTATAGTAAAGAACATTAATTAAAAGGTTAACTTAAGTTGATTGATAGTGTGTAGATTACAAAGTTAAAACCTAGCTAGTAGACGCGTATCAATCAAGTGTATTTTGACTAGAAAGTTATAACTATATAATTAGTTGTATATATAGTTAGCAATATAAAAGAAACATGGATCATACCAATGACAGGTCTGGCTGTTTTCACTTTCGGATCATCTTTAAACGTAAAACGCCTTAGCTTTCTCCCGTTAGATTTTATGCTTGCAGCGTTTTTGGTCATAAAAAATTCTAGTAATATAAGAAGCAAAAGGGACTTCATTTTGAATGAATTAAGTCTGAAAACCCTTATACTTGTAGTACATGAATAAAGTAACACCAGCAAGGGAGGGGCACCAGCTGAAACCCGCAAACCTTACCCGTAGTACCACTAGCAGTTCCCAATAAGTCAGTTCAAAATTTCGTATAAAGTAGGTTCTATGGATAACTAAAAAACGTTAAATACACTTTCGCGCCAGCATTTTCCTTTATCACTATGCCTTCAATTGTTCTTTCTCTGATTTCATTTCTAGTTTCGAAGGGTGAAGAGGAACACAATTTGACTATGAAAGTATGTTACTGTTAGCCAGATACACAAATGCAATTAGAGAGAGTGTAATGTCTATCTCACTATTTTTGTTTATTTTACGTACTTTGACTTTCATACACTGTTGCACAGATTTAAGAAAATTACTCTATCAATAATGTTAAACATGGCCTAAGGTTCAAAAAATTTCGAAAATCTTATACCCGAAAAGTTTTCACGTTTCCGGCGCGTAATATTTACTTCACCCTGAACAGAATTAGTACATAGAAATACCCTCAATCCAAGTACACTATTCAAAATTTCCCAATGTTGTTTTCAGTATTGTTTGGGCTTCCTTTGTTTTTGAACCCAGGTTTCTGGCCGGGCTACACAGCCTAACGTCAACAGAAGCAAAATGGCGGACGAGAATCGGTGAATTTTGCATGTTTTTGAACATTACAACCTTCCCTACAGTGATCCAGTGATTTTTGAGTTATGCCTTGAGATATGAGGAAAGCCAATGGATTAGCAGTTCTTTGTAGATCATATTCAACGATTTATTCGAGGACATCGCAAGTTTCTTTTGGATTGCATCAGTCATGTTTGCCCACACTCCAACCACAGCATGTTATAAAGAGAAATTTAGCGTCTTGTAAAGGTAATTGGAGGTTTACCGTGAATTTCCTTGTCAATACATATATTATTATGAGTATATGATTACTATAAAAATTAGATCGAATTTTATTAACGCGAGATCAATATATTTAAGTATTTAAGATTTTACAGACGTTAATGCACTTATCAATGTCTTGCCCCAACAGGAGGAGCCCGGGCATACCCAGGGACTATTGACATTGTTGGAAAACAAATGTCAATGAGCCCCTCTTAAATTCTACATCAAATGACAATAGACCCCTCAYTTGATACACGATTTAATGTAAAGTACACCAGGATCGGGTTGCTCAAAAGCTCAATGAAACCTGAGCCTGGTTCAACTCTTAAAAAAAAACTTGGGAGTTAATCCTAGATTAACGCATGTTTAACAAACTTTCCTGCAGTTGTAAGTGAAGGAAATAACATTCTAAAATGTTTAGTCTCTAATCAAATTGTCAATAAGCCCTACCTTGGAGGGATCCCTTTGTCAATAAAAGTCTAGGGGCTATGTTCGTATGGGGTGACCTACGTAGCACGCAGTTGATGTAATGTATTCATAAAATGTATTGTATTCCATTGTTTCTCGTTCTATTGTATTATGTGTTTTGTATTATATCTTTATGAATATATTACATCAACTGAGTGCTACATACATGTAGATTCTCCCATGTTTGTATGTCAATAGCCGTGTGTGCCCAGGCTCCCCCCATTGGGGCAAGACATTGATAGGTGCATAAATTAATCCTTTCGTCGGAAGTTGTTTCATCTACTTTTTTACGGCATAAAAATTTATCTTTTTACACAACTCTTTAGAAACATCAATGCAGTTCTTACTAGTTTACCGCTAGTTTCCCTGGTTTTAATCTTATTTTAACCTTAGATCTGACACCTTTGTATGTTTTTTGATTGTTTTGTTTACTTGTAAATTATGTTTTTCTAAAATATGAAACCCGATTCCAGAGTGTTTCAGAAAACAACATTTAAGCTCATATGCTTTTGGTAAAYGCAAGAAAAATACCATTCAWGTTGCAAGTAGAAACCTTTCATCTGGATCAAATGATGGTAAAAAGGAACCTCCTGGAGACAAGACTTCATCAAAAGTTTCCCTTGATAAACTTGCAATCGGAAATATTTATGGTAGGTAGTTTCTAAAGACACTCACACTTCACTCGACACTCGAAAGTCTTTCGAGTGGAAGCCACTCGATTACACTCGCTTTTATGAGTAATTTGTTATGCATGACTCGCGAGTAACGATGGTCACTTGATCATCGCACTCTCGAGTATAGAGCGAGTGGATGGTACTTTACTCGAGACCGGTACTGTACTTGGTTATTTCCCTTACTCTCTGATTCTTATTTCAATTAATGTGGGATGAAAATGCATCAGAATCGCACAAAGAAATACTTTGATGAATCCATGGTAGAGGCATTGTACCAATACTCATCTCTAATGTCAGATGAAAAATCCATAAATGGAAAATTTATTAACAACAAAAATGGACAAATCTGCATATATCTGTGTACTAAGTAGCTGATTTTCAGACGGGCCTGGGTCTAATGCTAACTCAGACCCAGGCCTGTGTGAAAATCAGGCTCTTCCAACACACCTTTCTGATTTTCACCACTCATTTCAAAGGCACTTATGAGTAGACCTTCACCTACAAAATCAACCTGATAATTGTGCTTTTGTGTCATTCATTAGAGAGTCCATCGTGGAAGTTTTACAAGAAAAATGCACCAGAGATAGACTATTCCAAGAAACATCACCATAACACATTTATCTCTGATACAAGAGCCATGAGTGATTATCTTCTCAAACCAAGGTGCAATTCATACTATAGAGTGCTTACACTATGTCCATGAAATAAAATCTAAATAGTTACTACCTAATAGTTCTTGTATAGTGACTATAAGTGACTATCATTCAACTGGAACAGTTTTAGTAACAATACATTCTGTACACTTAGCAAAAAGAATACAAAGGAACAATTCCTCAATACAACTGTTCCAGTTGAGCGATAGCAACTAATAGTCACTAAATAAGAACTATTAGATAGTAACTATTTAGATTTTAGAGTCATTTTCATCCATCTGTGGAATAGGAATTGTAATAATAAATACTATTACTCCCTATTAGCTCCCAATAGCTTAACTTATGACATGCAACAAAATAATTAGGCAAACATGGTTTTGATTTTGCCTTTTGATAGCCTGCTACACCCTAATATTTACTATTAAACACTGACTAGTAGTAATTGTTTCACAGACTCTGTTTCATGGACATAGTGCAAGCACTCTACTAATTTCTACAAGATTTCCTAGCTGTCCCAATTTCCTATGCCTACATTGCTTCACTTCACCCCCATCCCCGGGCACAAGTATGTAAAGCTGTCTGCATAACATGTTATGATTTTTATTTCTAGTGATTTAGAAGGATTGAGGACAAAAGCTTTACGCAGTGCATATACAAAAACCCAAGATTCACCAGATAAATATTACCTCAAATCAGACGTTGAAAAGAAGTAAGTTTTTCCCAAACTTAATATAATATTTTAATTAATTCGACCAGTAAACTTACCTCCAACCATCTGAGCTACAAACATCAGCAATTTACATGRAAGCTAAGGATGCTGACATCACAAACAATAACTTTGCTCTTGAGTCAAGGGGAGGACATGTGGGAGGGAGGGTCAGGGAAAATTAGGGTGTACATATGATCTTTGTGCTCAGGGTTTGTGCTACTCCTTAAAGTCCTTGAAAAGTCCTGGAATTGAAAACTCGTTTTCAAGKGCAATTGGAAGCCCTTGAAAATTGGGAAAATCACTGAAACTCCTGGAAAACTCCTTGAATCTGATAAAATTGACATGTTGATTGTTAGCTGTGGATTGAAATGTGGCTATTTTAAAAAATGGCCAATTGAAACGTCCGCAAACATCTAATAATATCTTCAAAAATACTCCTTGAAAATCGCATTTTTATGCTTAAAAAGTACTTGAAAAGTCCTGGAAGTGAAGATGTTGCACGAACTCTGTGTGCTGTTTATTAGAGTAGTTTTCATTTGACTGTGTAATGAATATATGTCTATTTAGCTTTTATTTGTTAGTAAAGAACAAAAGAAAACATTAGATTCAGAGTGTGATACGCAACAAACTTTCATGGTCAAATGAAAAAGACTTTAAAAGAAAAAGGCTATTGTGGAAAATAACTAAATATGTGTAATATGTTATCAAACTTGTTTTAGGGCGTACCAAGTGTGGGGAAGTGCAGAAGGACTTGCTAAAGAAATATGGAATAGAAGAAAGGCCCTAGAAGAAGATGAAAGATTTAGAAAAGGTACAACAGTGAAGACATTAGGATTTAAAGTCGAAGCTGATTTGTTACATGTACTATGTATACATGTAAATTATTTAGAGTTTAGAGTATGTATACATGTAAATTATTTAGAGTTTAGAATTTCACATGAATTTTGTAGTACTGTGATATTCCTCAATAGTTGATATTATAGGACCTATGTAATAGTCTCTTTCATGGTTCCCTGTGGCATCTTAAAATTGAACTGTGCCTTTGCATCGTAGCAAAATGACCTCTGAGCATGTATAGATACATATGACTAATAGTCTGTAGCTGTGAGAGAAGGTTTCTATCACTGCACTCTCAACGGTCATCTCGCTTGAATACTAAGGGAACTGTGAAGAAGACTATTTGGTTGGGATTGAGAATGTCTTGGCAAAGGATGAAAACTAAACTCTCAGAAAATAAAGGATTTTATAGGGTGACAGGACCAAAGATGGCTTATAGAGACCTCAACAACAATGAGATTTTATGTTTTCAAACGATGTAGAGATATCATTGTTGAATTATTATTATTTTTTTCAAATAATTTTKAATCTAGGTTTGGCAGCACTAATAGGCCATTTAAAGAAATCAGTTAAAGACCATTCCAAGAAAAGCCATGATCATATGGTATGAATTCAATACTAATCGATTATATTTTGCATGCTAGGTGATATTAACTCGGCAATAAGGTAGAGTGTTTCTCACCAGACTGTGAAATAGTCAGACTGAACTCCCTTATTCCTTGAAATTTAACTAGCCTCTTTGTGCTATTTTGTGCAATTTAGTAATTGGTGTTCATAAAGAACAATGTTGATTTAAACATAGTTAATAGAGAGGACTAGTCCTCTCTATTAACTTAAGAAATATAAAACGACGCGCGTGTCTCTGTCCTCTGATATAAACACGGTGGGAGTTCGAAAAACACGAGAGAAGCAAGCTTAGGAACACGAGCGTAGCGAGTTCGAAAAACACGAGAGAAGCAAGCTTAGGAACACGAGCGTATAATATGATTTAAAGGATGTTCCACTTCAGATATAATACAAATTTGTGTTTTTTTTGCGTTCACTGTACTTAACAGTTTGACATTGAGGTATAGTGGGACTACCAGTTGATAGTCCACGAATTGGACTCGACTATCAACTCGTAGTTCTCGAGACCGAGTGGTCTTTTAGACCTAATAGGCTAACGCGTTGCTATTTACGTTACCAACCCATTCAAATCCTGTGGGAAAAAGAACGTTTGTTTCTAAGAATTCTACTTAGAGAGAATAGCAGTAAGGGACAACTGCATTAAAAAATTCGCCACGCCTCGGTGGTAACAGACAAGAAACCCATTGGAAAAAGATTTGACTTGCCAAATGTTGTCTATTTCATACTCCTTGTTTCCAGAGCGGCTGATTGTAAATTGTCGTCCTATTTGACATCTTCCAAAGTTTGATACGCGATGTCCTTTGTAGAGTTTTTGTACGTTTTCAATGGTTCTTTATCAAATAACACATAAATCAAGAGTGGAAACAGAGAAAGAGGGCTCAGAATGGCAAGGGTCATGCGTGGTGAAGCGTACACCCAAGTTGTCAATCCTGCCAGGGAAACCAATGAATATGCATGATTAGGTTCGGATAGTTCTAGCACCCATGGCATGGACTGTATTTATGCAATAAAAACAAGACACAAGCAAAACGAAAAAACCCTCCCTAATACTGTAGACGAAGATAGAACTGCGTACCTGTATACGAGATAGAAGCTACAACCAAGCAAAATTGACGCCACTCTGATAAACTCCAGCGGATTCACTGTAAAAACCCGATAGTTTGGCCGAGCAATCTTTCCTAAACCACTGGAAAATCCAAGGACACATATGCCAGCGAGTCTCACGTTAACCATATTGACAAATACAAAAATCAATTGAATAACAACAAAAATGAGCGAATAAAGAATGAAGGCTGGTAGGAATGAGATTCGCTCTACGATCCATGGACTTTGCTAAGAATCTCAGCAACAGAGTAAACAACCAGTACAATGGCTGTAGCATGCAAGGAGCCAGCTAAGATGTCTTCAGCGGCTATCCAGAGTAGCACATGGTGTGGGAAAAACACCCATAAACCCAAACCAAACCTGCTCTCACAAGATTCGCGCTTTGAATTCACTAGCGCGTATCGTCTGGACAATATGTAAAAATAATGTCAAAAAAATGTTAAGAAATATAAGTAAATTTAAAAGCAAATGGTTGTCAGAAAAATATAAATGAAGATAAATGCCTCGGTTCGCTTCGGCGGCGTTATGATGATGTAACGAGTTGTATTACTTTTTCGTAGGTTTTCGGAGGAAGAATCGATAGAGAGACAATGCTGAGAGGTTCAGCTCGAGTGGTTGGGTATGCTATGCTTAGGTAGGTACTTTATACTGCTGTAAAGAGACTCCTTTAAGAGGGCGCAGATGGTCTGTGCACCGAGGGTCCAAAATCGAAGATTTTTATCCTTTTGGATTATCTTTTGCCTCAATCGACAATTAAAAATCCAGAGCTGATAACAATATACGATTACAGAAACATCATTCTACGTAGAGTTTTTAATAAGATGATTACGTTATTTTATAGTTACGGACTGACGTACATGATTAGTAGCATTATGGCTTCCCCTCTCCGAAGTTGCCATTTAAATTAAGGGTTTGAGCTGAATTTATACATGAATTTTATTTTTCCACAGCAACACGGCGGTCATGATGTTCAAGTTTGGTGCTTACCTTTACACAGGATCAGCTACCATGCTGTCTGAATCGATTCACTCATTGGCTGATCTTTTGAACCAGGTAATAATGCAAAAATAATGTTGGCCGAGGTGCGTCATGGGATTGACAAAAATACAAACTGAGGCTGTTTTATGAGCCACAAGCTTGACTTTCCACATAGGTGTCTTCTAGTGCAATTAGGTGTATAGATGTCGTTTGTAATGTATAAAATTTACGACATAAACTTCATGATATGATATCCGCCATTTTGATACTTTCATCGATACCATGATGCACCTGGACAAAAGACTCATGACGTCAGTAGTAGAAAAGACCGTTGATTGGCCATGGATGTGGACAGTGAGGTGATCTTTGAGACTGGTAGTGACTAATTTAGTAAGTAGTGTCTGTAAAGTGAACGAGAAAAAAAGAGAGAAAGGGAAAAAAGGTTTCTATGAATGAAATATCAAGAAGGAAATATGAAGAACGCATGGAATTAGAGAGGAGTACAAAGAGAAAGAAGAAAGAATGGGAGGAAGGGAAAACAAAATGGGAAAGAAAGAAAAGACAGGAATTAAAAGGACGGAGGGAGGAAGAAATACGAAAAATTAAGAAATTTCATAMTCTTGAAACCAAGGAACGTGTGGATCCTGAAGGGATTTTGCAGACATAAAATGAGGAAGGGAAATAAGAAATTTTGACATTCATTTTTTTTTCTTAGTGTTTGTTAGCTGTTGGTATCAGAGAGTCCATAAAGAAACCGTCTTCTGATCACCCGTATGTATTTTGAACATTATTTTGATATCCTTCTTTATTATTGTTTAAATTTCTGATGATATCAAGGGCGGATTTAGAGAGGGGAAAAGGGAGCTGTAGCCCCTCTTCCTCTGAGCACAGAAAGGTAACTGTGTTTTATTATTTTCAATGTTGTTTATAACAAACAAAGCTCACCCTCTTCCCCCTCATTACCATTTAGCCTTAAAATTTCACCTGGATCCGCTCTTGAATATGACCTCCATGGTTTGTAAGTAATCATGTCCTATTTATCTGTAGTTATGGTTTTTCCCGTGCAAGATATGTGTATTCACTTATAAGTGGTGTAGGGATCTTCTTCCTTGGTGCCGGTGTATCTGTATACCATGGAGTATCTACCCTTATGGTTCCGTCACCTTTAGAGAACCTACTTGTGGTGGGTAATCTTTTACTTTGATATATTGGTTCTTTATCTCCCCCTCTAATGTCGGAATTTGACCTTGTAATGATAGACAGTTGTCAATAAAATAGCCCACTGTTGCTATGGCGTCAGAGACTGACAAGTCCAGAATCCTTTGCCTACATACTTTCGTAATACAAATATTAAACGTAAGATATATACAAAATCAACTCATCTCAACTCAGCTTTTGTTTTCTTTTTTATTGTCATTTTAAGACTGATTTATGATTAATGCCTACAAAAATAATTTTCCAAAATTAGCACCACAAGTGCCCATTTGCGAATTTATTTCCGCTACGTCCCTGGGCTAACACTAAGTTATAATCAACCAATGAATATTAATTGTGGGAACGTGNGGAGGGGAAGGGGAGGGGAGGGGAGGGGAGGAAAACTAGCCGCTCCGAATATACATGCAGAAGATAAATACAAAATTCTTTTGGTCAAAGCCAATTAAGCATGAATACTTGTGATAATTTACGTATAAGATATTCTATTTTCTGCAGATAATCATAATGTTATGATTTGTTATTCACTGTTACGCTGTGGGGAGGATTATAACAAATAATTTTACCCTCTCCAAGAAGTGTGTCTCGGGGATCTGTCGACTCTCTGATTCTGCCATTGCGTGATATACCAGCTGCACCCTGGCTATCAGTGTAATGATACAAAATCTTAATCTCCTAAAACGAAAAGAAAAGACATGTTGTGCTTGATGTCATCAAACTAGCTCGTTACTTTCACTTTCACTTCAAGGTTTAGAGCGGATTTCGTATGAGTGCGAAACGGACGGTACTGTACTGTGACCGTAATCGCACTGTAACCAAATTCTAGTGCCCCATTGTTTCACCAAAATTCTGMAGGCCAGGTGTGGTAACTGTGCGGTAACCGTGCGGTAACGGTGTCCCACTCATACGAAATCCGCTCTAATAGTACGTTCCATCAAGTTAGGAGTGTTCGTTTCATACATCGCGTTAATTAAATGCGTGAGAAATATTGTTGGACCACAAGGGACCGTCGCGGCAGTGAAAACGTTCCTCTTAGTTTCTGTTGTGTTCTGCTTTATTACTACATGCTTGTTTGACGCTCTGGACTGACTAACTRGACTGACTAACTAACTACTACTCGTTACATTGCTTGATATATGTTTTACAGAATTAGACAAAACCCAAATAATAATTTGATATTAACTAAAAAACAATAACCAATTATGGCATAACTCCATACTGAGGGGAATTCCCCGTTTATGACGACCTTGGCTTATGCTACAAATATCGATCRCGTGAACATTGTCTAAACTGCGTCATAAACTTAAACTAAAGTAATTACTTATMAAAATACAATAATAATGATATTTGGAAATTCCACAATCATTCTGTAACWTCAATATTGATCTTAACCCTACAGCATAATAATTGCTGAACATTAAAGCTACTGGTAATTCAAAACTATTTTTTCCTGGTAATCTAAAACTACAGTACATGACTTGGCATATTTCGATTTCTAGACCAAACTATAAAACTGCTGACGAATCACTTAAAACTGAAATCTACCATTAACTTATTAACATTGTATTAACTAAATRYCAGGGAGACKTAGTCTAACAATATGTAAAAGAAMAATTGAAAGCGATTTTTTCAAATCGTCAAAGCTGCCTGGTTCTATTAAGTATTGTTAGGATAGAAACATCTAACTGAAGTCCACAAATAAGACGTCTAAGGCGAAAAGYAGACGCTACCAAGTAAACTGCAGCCTACTAATTTAATATAGGAAGCGTTGTCATTGTCTAAATGCCTACAAGTGTGGTTTTGGTTCTGCTGGTTGTAGGTAATTGAAGACAAAGTATCTATTGCACTTCGTCGGTTAGTCGATCTTTTGTCTGGCTTACCTCTTCAACATTGTCTTCAAAGAGTTTTGCAACTAGTACAACTGCTCCCACAACAATCGCCCCACCTCCAATAGCGAGTGCAACAGCAGGGATAGAAGACATGATAAAACAGTCTTTGAACTATAGAGACAAACAGGGCAAATGATAAAACAGTCTTTGAAGTAAAGAGGTCAACTAGTTGTAATCGAATTCAAGTTACGTCACATTTCCGAGAAAGCACAGGCAGCCCATTCTTGAACTCTGAAGCTTTCGAGTTTTTGTTTGTTTGTTTTTTTTTTTTTTAGTTTTTATAATAAAAATGATTATTAGTGAAACAAATAACTGACGAACATCAAAGTATTAACCACAGAAAACATACAAGTACGCGCTTCCTTTGGAAGTGATCATGCTTTAAAATTCTGGATTACCTGTGGTATAAATGGCCAACGCTATCTCGACCCCTTATATTAGCGCAGGCTTCCTTTGCAATGCACGATGATATTAGGGGTAACTGTGTAGAAAGCTTACAACTAGCGAGGCAGAAGTTAGTGTGTGAATCCTTAAAACTCCGGTCATGTGATGGATTTATAATTTTTTTTTGGAAACTCTATTCACTAATTGTTTAGCAGTAATCCCAAGAAACCCTTATTTCGATCTTTTGTGGCGATTAAGAACGCTCAAGTGGTATTCTGTCTACTCGGTGAACAGAAGGAAGCTTAAGAAACTTGTTGCGGAAAGGCCCACTTGCACCCGGGTGCGCGATGATAAGCCTCCCCGAAAACTTTCAGCCTGATCTCCCACGTAAGTTCTCCGAGATGGCGACTTTCCGTTTGTAAGAAAGTCGCGCAAAGGTTCTTGGGTACACGTGGGCCTTTAGTGATTTTCCTTCATTAGTCGTTTGCATGGCATGATTGAGAATGAG